AGTTTCTTTCCATTGTATTTATTCAGGTTTTATTTATTCTTTGAGGTTCTTACACTAGGGAAACAATACAATATTTACACATGTGGGTATGATTTATTTCACTTATGAGTATAGTTTCTAGTTGCATCCACTTGCCTATAAAGACCTCAAGTTTGTCTTTCTTTATAGCTGAGTAATACTCCATTGTATAAAAATACCAAACCTTTTTCATCCATTCCTCATGTCATAGGCATTTTGGTTGTTTCCAAGATTTGGCTATGATAAATTCTGCTGCTCTGTACATGAGTGCACATATATGACTATGGTATGCTGTTTTCATTTCTTTTTGGAAAATATCCAGAAGGGGAATAGCTAGGTTGAATGGGATTTCCTGTTCTAGTTTTTGTGAAATCTCCACAATGATTTTCATAGTGGTTATACTTGTCTACATTCTCACCAACAAATGAGAAGTGTTCCTTTTTTACCACAGCCTCTCCAGCATTTGTTATTAGTTGATTTCTTTATGATAGCAATTCTTTCTGGGGTGAGATTTTGCCTCAATGTTGTTTTAATTTGCAATTCTTGAATGACCATTGCTGTGGAACATTTTTTCACATATTTACTTGCCATTTGTATTTCTTCCTTTGAGAAGTGTGTATTCATCTTGGATGCCCAGTTTTGGATTGGGTCTTTATATTTTGTGGGACTGATTTTTTTCAGTTCTTTATTTAAGCTAGATAGCAGTCCTTTGTCTGAGTGATTGTTGGTTAAGATATTTTTTTTCCAATTTGTGGGATGTCTTTTTATTCTGTTGGTGATTTCTTTTCTTTTCTTTTTCACTTCCCTGGTACACAGTCTGGGCCATGCTGTTCTGTGCCACCTGGCTCTCTCTCTCTCTCTCTCTCTCTCTCTCTCTCTCTCTCTCTCTCTCTCTCGTATTTTTAGGGACGGGCCTACAGGGTGTTCAGGGTCTCACTACTAGATTGGGCTCGTAGTGATCTACCTGTTTACAGCCTCCCAAGAGCTGGGATTACAGGTGCGCCACCATGCCCAGTCTCAATTGCCTTCTCAGCGCGCCTGAGGGTGGGGCTGGCACCGCAGTCTGTTGGTGATTTCTTTTGACTTAAAGAAACTTCTCAGTCAGATGAGATTCCAGTTGTTGATTCTTGGATGTATTGCCTGTGCACTTTGGTTTTTGTTCATGAACTCACTGCTTACCCCATATCTTCAAGATTCTCTCCTACTTTCTCTTCTAGTAGACTTAGTTTATCTGTTTTAACGTTTAGATCTTTAATCCATTTTGACTTTAGTTTACTGCATGATGATATACCTGGACCTCGTTTTAGTTTTCAGCATGTGGTGAACAATTTTGCCAGCAACTTTTGTTAAAGAAACTATCTTTCTTCCAGTGAACATATTTGGTCCCTTTATCAAAGATAAGGTGACTGAGTATGTTTGTAGTTGTATCTTCATCTTCTAATCTATTCCACTGATCCTCCAGTCTGATTTGTTTTTACTAGTACCATGCTGAATTTATCACAGTAGCTCTGTAGTATAATTTCAAGTTAGGGATGGTAATGCCTACTCCCTTGCTTTGTTGCCCAGGATTGCTTTTGCTATCCTAGACATTTTCTCATTCCAAATAAATTTTAGCAATGTTTTGTCTAGATCTGTGAGGTACATTGATGGCATTTTGATAGGATCACATTAAATCTGTATAACAATTTTGAGAATATGGCCATTTTCACAATATTGGTTCTTCCCATCTAGGAGCAAGGACTATCTTTCCATTTTCTGAAATCCTCTTTAATCTCTTTTTTTCAGTTTTGTAATTTTCATTGTATAGATCTTTTACTTCCTTTGTTAGATTAATTCCAAAGTATTACATTTTTTTGGATGCTATTATGAAGGGCATAATTTCTCTCTCAGTGAGTTTGCTATTTCTGCAGAAGAATGCTATTTATTTTTGGGTGTTTACTTTGTATCCTGTTATGTTGCTGGGTTTGTTTATTAATTCTGGGAGCTTCTTAGTGGGGATTTTTGGATCTTCCGAGTATCATGTTGTTTGAAAATAATGATAGTTTAACTTCTTCCTTACCTATTCTTATTCCTTTATTTGTGTCTCTTATCTAATGGCTCTAGCTAATGATTCCAGAACTATATTGAACAGGAGTAGTGATAGTGGACATCCTTGTCTTGTACCTGATTTTAGACTAAAAGCTTTCAGTATTTCTCCATTTAGAATGATGTTGGCTATTGATTTGTCATGGATAGTTTTTGTCAGAATGAAGTAGAGGACATCTATTCCAAATTCTGTACGGTTTTGATCATGAATAAGTTTTGGACTTTTTCAAAGGCCTTTTCTGCATCAATTGAGATGATTGTGTGGTTTTTTATTTTGGCTCTCTTGATATAGTGTATTACATTTATAGATTTATATATGTTGAAACATCCTTGCATCCCTGGGATGAATCCTACCTGGTCATGGTGTATAATCTTAGTGATGATTTTCTGTATTACATTTGCTAGTATTTTTTTTTTTTTTTCAGAACCAGGGATTGAACTCAGACCCTTGCACTTGCTAGGGAAGCACTTATTCCACTGAGCCATCTCCCTGGCCCCACATTTGCTAGTATTTTATTAAGGATTTTTGCATCTATGTTTGTGATGGAGATTGACTTGTAGTTCTCTTTTCTAGTTGAGTCTTTCTTCAGTTTTGTTATCAGTATATTACTTGCCTCCAGAAATGATTTTGGGAGTATTTCTTCCTTTTGGATTTCACTGAAGAGTTTGAGGAGTATTGTAATGAAATCTCTGAATTTCTTCTAAGATTCAGCTGTGAATCCATCACAATCTGGGCTTTTCATTGTTGCTATTTTTTTTTTTTTACATTTTCAATTTCATTGGTTGATATTGGGTTATTTAGAATCTTTATATCATCTTCATTCAGTTTTGATAATTTGTACATATCTAGGAATCTTTTCATTTCTTCTGTATATTCAATCTTGTGAGAGTAAAGATTTTCAAAATAGCTATTAATTATCTTCTGAATTTCCACAGGAGCTGTAGTAATTTCACCCAATTTCATTTCCTATTTCTTTTCTTTCTTTTTTTTTTTTCGCAACCGGGTATTGAACTCAGGCCCTTGCACTTGTCAGGCAAGCGCTTCTTCTACTGAGCCATCTCCCCGGCCCCTTATTTCCTATTTCTTGAATTTGAGTTTTATCTTTTCTCTTTTTGATGAGGTTGGCTATGGGTTTATCAACTTTATTTAACCTTTCAAAGAACCGGGTTTTTGATTCATTGATTCTTTATATTGTTTTCTTTGTCTCAATTGCATTAATTTGTGTTCTAATCTTTATAACTTCCTCCCTTATTTGGATTTTTGGCATGTTTTGCTTTTCTTTTCTGAAAGACTAAGGTGTAGCATTAGGGTATGTATTTGTTCTTGTTCTGTTTTCCTAATGTGTGAGTTCAGTGCTATAAATTTCCCTCTGAGGAATGCTTCATTGCATCCCATAAATTCAAGTACATTGTGTTTGAATTTTTACTGAATTGTAGATATTGTTTAATTTCTTGTTTAATTTCATCTGTAACCCATTGGTTGGTGAGTAGGATATTACTTAATTTCTATGTATTTTTGAGGGTTTTTTTGGTCATTAATTTCTAGCTTCATTGCACTGTGGTCTGATAATAGGCATGAAATAATTTCTGTTTTCATGTATTTACTTAAAACACTAGTATGTGGTCTATTTTAGTGAATGTACCATGTGTGGCTGAAAAGATTGTGTATTCAGATGTTGTTCAGTGAAACACTCTGCATGTGGCCACTAAGGACATTTGTTCAAAGGTTTGGTTTAGTTCTGCTACCTATTTGCTAACTTTTTGTCCACTTGACCTATGTTTTTGAGATAAGGGGTATTAAGCTCCCTGGTTAAGATTGTGTTATTGGTACTTAGATTTCTCATGTCCATTAAAATTTGTCTTGTATAGTTGGGTGTTCCCATGTTTGGTGCATACATACTTATTACTGTTATCTCTTCCTCTTGAAGGTTTCTCTTAACCAGTATGTAGTGACCTCCTTTATCTCATTTTCTCATTCTTGGTTTGAAGTTCAGGTTGTCTGTGAACAGAATAGTTACTCCTTCATTTTTCTGAGCTCCTGGAGCATGTAGTATTGTTTTCCATCCTTTGACTTATAACCTATGAATTTCTTTTTGGCTTTAATGTATTTTTTGTTTACATAATATTATTAGATTTTGTTTCTTAATCCACTATGCCATATTTCTTTTAATTAGTGAATTAAGTCCATGTATATTGATGCTTATAATTGATATATATTGGCTTATGTTTGTCATGTTATTTTCCTATTGTTGGTTCCCTACTTTTCTCCTGTGCTTATATTGTTTGTCCTATTTGTTGGGTTCTTTCTCTTGTCATTGTTGGAGTTGTGGTCATTTTGATCCCTTTCTAGAATGTATTTTTGTATTCTGTGTAGGGTTGGTTTGGTCTTCATGAATTTCTTTAGTTGTTCTTTGTCATGGAAGTATTTTACTTCTCTATTAAACTTGAAAGAGAGTTTTGCAGTGTATATCAGTCTGGGTTGGAATTTGTTTTCTTGTAGCTCTTTTGAATTGTTGGTTTGTGAGGAGAAATCTGCCATTATTCTGGTGGGCTTTCCTTTAACGTGATCTGTTTCTTTTCTCTAGTAACTTTTAGTATACTGCTCTTGTGCTGAATTTCTGGGATCTTGATTATTATATGTCTGGGTATAGTTTTAATTGGGCTGATATTATTTGTAGTTCTATATGCCTCAGTTATCTAAATGTTAAATTGTTTCCTCATATTTGGGATTTTTTTTGCTATTACTTCCGCCCATATTCTTTTTATGTCATTTGTATTGGCTCCTTCTTTCTCATTGATGCCTATTATTATATTGTTCATCTTTGCATCACCTTGCAGCTGTTGAATTATTATTTTCTGAATTATTATTGTCTTTAAGAGGTCTTTCCTTTCCCTTCCAAAATATGGAATGCTTCACTAATTTTCTTGTTATCCTTGGGCAGGGGACTTGCTAATCTTCACTGTATCATTCCAATTTTAGTATATTTGCTGCTGAAGTGGGAATGATACAAAATTATATTCATCAAACGTGGTTACTTTCATTCTTCACCAGTCATAGTTTCATATTACAATATCATAGTTGTACAACAAAATAATAATCCTTTTACAGACAGATAGTTCAGGCTGGTACCTTTTAACTACTCATTATTGCCTGTCTCAGAAGGAGGAAGAATAATTGTTTATTTGCCACTGCTTGTAT